AGCAGTCTTTCTTGGAATCCGTTTCCAAGAGACAACAGTTTGCGAGCACGCACCCGACGGTGCAAAAGCTGAACGTCCTCCTGTCCAAGTTGCTGGTGCTGCAGTCCCTCCCTTTCCAAGTGGTGGACTCAGCACCTTTCCGAGAAATGATGGCTTGTGCCGCGCCGCGGTGGAGAGTGCCAAGCCGTCATTTCTTCGCCAAAAAGGCAGTGCCAGCCCTGCATTCACATGTAGAAGAGATGGTGGGCCAGTCTTTGAGCATGTCGGTCTCTGCCAAAGTGCACGGCAGCGCCGACGTGTGGAGCTGTAACTACGGTCAGGGACAGTACATGTCATTTACGGCCCACTGGGTGAACGTGGTGCCGGCACAGCCGCACCAGCAACTTGGACAGGTCACGCCGCTTTTGCCTCCCACGTTTGCACGTCCTTGGTCCAGCAAAGATGTCCGCCTCTACCACCTCTTCTTCCGCCGTGTCCTCAGCCGCCACCCCCGTGCCAAGTCCCATTACCGACCGGCATATCACATGTGCAGGGGCAACGGTGTCACGCTGTGCTGCACCTGGTATGCCTTGGCGAACGTAGTCACACAGGGGAGGAACTTCTGAGTGTAATGAACAGAGAAATCGACAGATGGCTGTCTCCGCGCAAACTGAAAATCGGAACCATGTTGACCGACAACGGAAAGAACATGGTGTCTGCTCTGCGTCAAGGAAGGTTGTGCCATGCGCCATGCATGGCTCACGTTGTTCAATCTGGTTGTCAAGCGGTTCCTAAAATCCACCATCCCACTGCAAGACATCCTTAAAATGTCACGTAAACTTTGCATGCATTTCAGCCATTCCTACACCGCAAAGCACACCCTCCTTGAGCTGCAGCGGCAGAACGGAATTCCACAGCATCGCCTGATCTGCGACGTTGCAAACAAGGTGGAATTCAACCCTACACATGTTAGACCGCCTTTACGAACAGCGAAAGGCCATCACCGATTTCCTGATGTTACAAGCGGATAAAGGTACTCCCCTGTGTAACTTCGATGTCAGCCATTGGCAGCTCATGCGTGACACCTGCCGCTTGCTCAGGCCCTTTGAGGAGGCCACGCTATTCGTGAGTCGGCAGGACTATGGGATGAACGACGTCATTCCTCTGTTGCACGTCCTGGAACAAATGCTGTTAACAATGGCTGGTCAGGGTGCGGTAGACGTGGCGCACAGATCTCAAACGCCACATGACCCCTGTGGGGGCAGGACAGGAAGAAGAGGAGGAGGTAGAGGAGGACATTGGTGCTCAGGAATTATTGAGTGAAATGGGTGGTTTTTTCCACTCAGCGGACAGGAGTGGAGGAGCAGAGCATCTGGTAGAGGAGGAGGAGGAGGAGACAGAGGACCCAGACGCACCGTGGCAGTATGCTTGTGGAGATGGAGGCAGGGAGTCCCTCGCATTCCTTGGCACAAATGGCCCATAGCATGCTCGGCTTGCTTGCGTAGCGACAGCCGAATAATAACCATCAGACAGAGGGATGACTTTTGGGCTGTCCACCTTGTTGGACCCTCGCTACCGTTCAAAAATGGTGGCCTTTTTCACACCTGCTGAGAGGGAGGCCAAAATAACGTACTATAAAAACCACCTATGTAGTCAGTTGGTCTCTGCCTTTGTGCGCCAACGTCCATCCTCAGACACTGTGGGCCCTGTGCGCTCGCGTTCCGCTGCCATGGCAGCAGGGGAGGGGTGGGGTGGTAGGAGCAGTGGCAGCTCCACCAGCAGCGGCTGCCTCAGTCTGCAGTCGATGATGAGTAGCTTTCTTCACCAGCGCAGTGAGGAAACTACTAACCAGCCGCAGCAGCAGCATTTGCATCAGGTGGACCTGGAGCAGGACCTCAAACAACAGGCTTGGGCCTACTTGGACAGCACCCTGCCAACCGAGGTAGACAATCCCCTTGACTACTGGGCAACGAAACTTGACCTTTGGCCCCAACTAGCTGAATTTGCCCTTGAAAGGCTGTCATGCCCGGCCAGTAGCGTGGCATCGGAGCGCGTGTTTAGTGCGGCAGGAGGTATTGTAACTCCGCGGAGGACACGACTGTCCACCCAAAGTGTGGAGAGACTCACGTTTGTGAAAAAGAATCAGGCGTGGATTAGTCTGGATTTCAAACCACCAGTTCCTGACACAACTGACTAAATCCGCCATGAATCATGCCCCCAAACATGTGCCACTTTCAGGTCTCCTCACACTGCTGGTGTGTTCCATTTTTTGTCATAGGGTGCTGGCAGATTACGGGCCTCCCATTGCTGCTGCCAGGCCCCTAATCTGCCATGGGCCCCTGTACCGCCTCCTCATGCTGCTGCCAGGTCCAGAGTGTGTCATGGGTCCCTGTACGGCCTCCCATTGCTGCTGTCTCCATCGCCACACTCTGCCATGTGCCACTTTCAGGTCTCCTCACACACTGCTGGTGTGTTCCATTTTTTTGTCATAGGGTGCTGGCAGATTACGGGCCTCCCATGCTGCTGCCAGGCCCCTAATCTGCCATGGGCCCCTGTGCTACCGCCTCCTCATGCTGCTGCCAGGTCCAGAGTCTCTCATGGGTCCCTGTGCCACTTTACGGCCTCCCATTCGGCTGCTGTCCTCCATCGCCACACTCTGCCATGTGCCACTTTCAGGTCTCCTCATCACACTGCTGGTGGTTCCATTTTTTGCCATAGGGTGCTGGCAGTATTACGGCCTCCCATAGCTGCTGCCAGGCCCCCAATCTGCCATGGGCCCCTGTACGCCGGCCTCCTCATGCTGCTGCCAGGTCCACAGTGTCTCTGCCATGGTGCCACCTTCAGGTCTCCTCACACTGCTGGTGTGTTCCATTTTTTGTCATAGGTGCTGGCAGATTACGGGCCTCCATGCTGCTGCCAGGTCTCCCCCTAATCTGCCATGGGCCCCTGTACCGCCTCCTCATAGCTGCTGCCAGGTCCCAAGTCTCTCATGGGTCCCTGTACGGCCTCCCATTGCTGCTGTCTCCATCGCCACACTCTGCCATGTGCCACTTTCAGGTCTCCTCACACTGCTGGTGTGTTCCATTTTTGTCATAGGGTGCTGGCAGATTACGGGCCTCCCATGCTGCTGCCAGGCCCCTAATCTGCCATGGGCCCCTGTACCGCCTCCTCATGCTGCTGCCAGGTCCACAGTGTCTCATGGGTCCCTGTACGGCCTCCCATTGCTGCTGTCTCCATCGCCACACTCTGCCATGTGCCACTTTCAGGTCTCCTCACACTGCTGGTGTGTTCCATTTTTTGTCATAGGGTGCTGGCAGATTACGGGCCTCCCATAGCTGCTGCCAGGCCCCTAATCTGCCATGGGCCCCTGTACCGCCTCCTCATGCTGCTGCTGCCAGGGTCCACAGTGTCTCATGCCATGTGCCACTTTCAGGTCTCCTCACACTGCTGGTGTGTTCCATTTTTTGTCATAGGGTGCTGGCAGATTACGGGCCTCCCATAGCTGCTGCCAGGCCCCTAATCTGCCATGGGCCCCTGTACCGCCTCCTCATGCTGCTGCCAGGTCCACAGTGTCTCATGGGTCCCTGTACGGCCTCCCATTGCTGCTGTCTCCATCGCCACACTCTGCCATGTGCCACTTTCAGGTCTCCTCACACTGCTGGTGTGTTCCATTTTTTGTCATAGGGTGCTGGCAGATTACGGGCCTCCCATGCTGCTGCCAGGCCCCTAATCTGCCATGGGCCCCTGTACCGCCTCCTCATGCTGCTGCCAGGTCCAGAGTCTCTCATGGGTCCCTGTACGGCCTCCCATTGCTGCTGCCAGGAGGCAGCAGGGTCGCAGCAGTGTCAGTGGAGGCAAACGGCCACGGAGTAGAGCACCAGCTCCACCACTGCAGCCTACCACCACGGCCAGTAGTGGTGCCGGTGTGCACGGAGGAAGTAGCAGTCAGCCAGTGAGGAGTAGCGGGGGCAAAGTTTCCTACTCGGCGGTGTGGCAATTTTTCGTCAAGCCGCCCGGGGAAGTAAACGTAGCCGTATGTCGACTATGTGGCCAGAAAGTCAAGCGTGGCCAGGGGGCCCATGTTGGGACTACAGCGTTGCGGCAGCATATGCAGCGTCGCCATTCGGTGGCCTGGGAAAACCGTGATAAAGATACGGCGGTTCTGCCTGCCCCAGCCCAGGGTTCCATTTTGTCATAGGGTGCTGGCAGATTACGGCCTCCCATTGCTGCTGCCAGGCCTTAATCTGCCATGGGCCCCTGTACCGCCTCCTCATGCTGCTGCCAGGTTCACAGTGTCTCATGGGTCCCTGTACCGCCTCCCATTGCTGCTGTCTCCGTCGCCACACTCTGCCATGTGTGCCACTTTCAGGTCTCCTCACACTGCTGGTGTGTTCCATTTTTTGTCATAGGGTGCTGGCAGATTACGGGCCTCCCATTGCTGCTGCCAGGCCCATAATCTGCCATGGGCCCCTGTACCGCCTCCTCATGCTGCTGCCAGGTCCACAGTCTCTCATGGGTCCCTGTACGGCCTCCCATTGCTGCTGTCTCCATCGCCACACTCTGCCATGTGCCACTTTCAGGTCTCCTCACACTGCTGGTGGGTTCCATTTTTTGTCATAGGGTGCTGGCAGATTACGGGCCTCCCATAGCTGCTGCCAGGCCCGTAATCTGCCATGGGCCCCCGTACCGACTCCTCATGCTTCTGCCAGGCCCGTAATCTGTCATGGGCCCCTGTTGTCGCTTGTTGGCATATTCCGCTCGTTCAGATGCTCCTTCTCCTGCTACTCCTCTTCTCGGATTCCGTCAGCAGTCTTTCTTGGAATCCGTTTTCAAGAGACAACAGTTTGCGAGCACGCACCCGACGGTGCAGAAGCTGAACGTCCTCCTGTCCAAGTTGCTGCTGCCAGGCTCGTAATCTGTCATGCGCCTCTGTACCGCCTCCTCATGCTGCTGCCAGGTCCAGAGTGTGTCATGGGCCCCCGTACCAACTCCTCATGCTGCTGCCAGGCCCGTAATCTGTCATGGGCCCCTGTACCGCCTCCTCATGCTGCTGCCAGGTCCAGAGTGTGTCATGGGTCCCTGTACGGCCTCCCATTGCTGCTGCCAGGCCCGTAATCTGCCATGGGCCCCCGTACCAACTCCTCATGCTGCTGCCAGGCCCGTAATCTGTCATGGGCCCCTGTACCGCCTCCTCATGCTGCTGCCAGGTCCAGAGTGTGTCATGGGTCCCTGTACGGCCTCCCATTGCTGCTGTCTCCATCGCCACACTCTGCCATGTGCCACTTTCAGGTCTCCTCACACTGCTGGTGGGTTCCATTTTGTCATAGGGTGCTGTATGGCCTCCCATTGCTGCTGCCTCCACCGCCACACTGTGGCTCCACACTCTGGTTTTGGCCCCGTGACTGCCCAAATGAGTGAAGTGTGCGGTGATTCTAAGATCGACGGCACTCATCTGCATGTCATACTGACTGACAGTATTATTTCTCTTCCCCAGCAGACTCCAAGGGCATTTAAATTAAAGGTACAGTGTTCTGCACTAATATAAAGGCTCTCTGAAGCCTAGAAACACCCTTTTATAAGTTAAATTCGCAGCGAATATATTCGACTCGAATCGAAATTTTTTCACGAATTCGCCGAATCAGTCTAATCAAATTTTTGAATAATTCGCTCATCTCTAATGTTAATATATCCCGCACCTTCTACATATTAAAACTGTTTCAATAAACTCCATTTTATTGTAATATTTCCCCCAATGTCCCCCTGTATCTCTGAAAATGGGGGCACAAAGGAAAGAAAGGTAAAAAGAGGCATTGTATTACTACATTAAAGTGGTTTTAAAGGCTGAAAAATGTTACTTTCATGCATTCTATGCATGAAGTAAAAAACCTTCAGTATGCATCCCCCCCTAATACTTACCTGAGTCTGATCTCAGTCCAGTGACATGAGTGAGAGCAGAGGTTCTCTCAGCTCTCTCCATCCTCTTTGGCTCAGACACAACAATGGGAGCCATTGGCTCCTTCTGCTGTCAATCACAGCTGGTGAGAAGGAAGTGGAGGTGGGGCTCTCAGAGCCATGCTCTATGTATCTTATGGGGGCCATGATCTGTGTGTGCTATGGGGGGCACTCATTGGGGGGAAGGAGCAAGGATTGCTGGCAGGGCACCTGAGAAGAGGAGGATCGGGGCTATTGTGTGCAAAGCCTTTGCACAGAACAGGTAAGTATGATAAATTTTAATAAAAAAAAATAAAAATTTACAACCACTGGAATCTGAATTAAGAAATGGTGAAAAATGTAATGCTTCATTAAGGTATGGTAAAACTGTCGCCTCTAAATGTATCCATTTACTAACTTTCGGAAAAATCTAAATTTCCTCCCTGTGGATTTTGCCATATTCTTAATAAAAGAAAATCAGAAACTTCGAAATAGAGATAGCTGTTTCCATAGTATATTGTGATTATACCAAAATGGCCCTCACAGATGGTTCATGTGTAAGTTAATATGTATAGGCTCAGAAAATTCAGTCTGCAAATGCATAGAAAACTGTCACAAAATTACACAGCAGGTGTCTTCATATATACTATTTCACACAGTGACATTCAATACAATATATAGTTCTTTCACAGTTACAGTGATAAATGTTTTAACAAAGAAAGTTTGCATAAAGCAAAATGTATCCACTTTTTCACATCGTTGTGCAGCATGTTCAGTCAGCTCATCTCCAAAAATATCCTGAAAAAAAGTACCAAACTCATATTAATGAGAACAATGGGATGAGGTTTTTTTTAACAATAAATTGGATGTGATTTTACAAAATAATTGATTACTGGTTAGTATGTGATGCAGTAAAATATGTGAGGCATTATAACACCTACCATGTGTGTCTTTTATTGTGGATTCCATTATACTTCTTTTAAAACATAATACTTTTTTAAAAGAAAATTTGTTATAACATGAGGTTCACACTGGGTTATACAATGACCTTTGCGGGACAACGGGAAAAGTGCCATGCTTGGGGTGAAGTAAGTCTAAGTGTGAACCTCTTTGTCAGATGAAAATATGTATATTTTATCATTTTATCCTATTAGCTGAGCCCATCTAGAGCAAACAGTTTTTCTTAAATTTTTTGGATAGACTGTAAAAGAGATAACACTGCTATGTTTTAAATACAGCCTCCTTGAGGGAATTTTCATAATTTCATATCTTTATGACACCTGTCACCATAATGGGAAGAGTACATAGGTCTCATCACTAGTGACATAGATAGTAATATATTGTGGAAGAGGTTAAAAACCCTTAAAAAATATGAAAACACAGCATTTTATATCCTTGATATGTGCCTGCTGTACCATGTACTTGTATGAAAAAGTATCCTGTTCTCTTTTTATTTCTCTTTGCATTGTTTCCTTTGTGTGAAATCCCTGGTGCTCCTTCTAGTACATCTGATTTCCTATTAAAAACTGACTACAATAGACAGCAGAGCACATCATGGTCAATATTCTAACTGTGCTGATTACTCAGCCTGCTCTCCTGCAATGATCATACTTCTGCGGACATGCCCCCCCACACAGCCATTCACTGGAAAGTTCGGTGTGCTGCTGTTTCTCCTCCCCCATCTCTCTATGTTCTTATGCAACTGAGAATAGAGGGAATTTATAAACAAGGGAAAAAAGGGAAAAGTGGTCTTATTGCATATATAAGTACAGTGCTTAGTATAAATGAGTACACCCAAACAGCTTTGTCAGAAAACCTTTACTTTCCTATCAGAATCAACATTTTATATGAGACACTATACTACAAAATACTCCCATAAATGTGGGCCATTGATTGCCAACAAGATTTGTTAATTTGCACACATGAAAAAGTATTTTCCTAATAAATTCAGTCAAGACCATGTTGAAAAAATTAATATACCAACAATGAAAGTCTTAGGAGCAAAGATAAATTTTAGACAACAAAATGCACATTAACAAGAATTCAGGTGAGTCTAATTATTCATTAAACAGGTGTCCAGCAGACAGCTTATTATAATAACAAAGAAAACCCCTTCCCATTTCATACTGTCAGCACGAGCACCACATAGAAGAGAAATGTCACAAGGCCTGAGAAAGAAAATTATTTCTTTACACAAGAAAGGTGAAGGCTACAAAAAGATCAGCAAAGCTTTACTTATAAGTCAGAATACTGTAGCAAAAGTTCTACAAAAATTGACCACAGATGGAACTGCAACCATCTCACAGAGACGTCCAGGCTGTCCATGGCAGTTAACACTTCGAAAAGTTGAAGAAAATCACCATGCAAGTTCACTGCAGTTAGCTAAAGAAGTAGAAAGCCAAACTGGGCTGATTGTTTTTTTGTGAGGAAGGTGTACATGGTGTACACTGCAGAGGAAGGGCACACATGGGTGTTATCCACAAAGGAAGCCTCTCCTAAAGCCCATGTACAGAAAAAGCCCCCTTAGAATTTGCCAGGGCCTATGTGAAAAAGAAGAAGACTCCTGGGACACAAAGGTGAGGAGTACAAAGAAAAATGCATGGTGCCTACAGTTAAAACATAGTGGTGGCTGCATGAATGATGCTGGTGTCAGGGAGCTGCATTTCATTTATGGTATCATGAATTCACAGAAGTACTGCTCTATATTAAAAGAGAAGATGCTACAATCACTCCGTGCACTTGGTCGTTGCTCTAACATGAAAATGATCTAAAGCACATATATATGGCCACTGCTGCATTTCTGGAGAAGAAAAGGGTGAAAGTGATTCAGCAGCCAAGTATGTCTCCTGACCTGAACCCAATCAACACCTATGAGTAATTCTGAAGAGACAAGTTGAGCATCCCTCTCCATCCAGCATCCAGGCTCTGAAAGAGGTCATTCTTGAAGATGGAAAAAGATGTTGCAATATGTCTCCAACTTGTTCATTCTATGCCTAGAATACTTGGTACTGTCCTTACAAATCATGGAAGTCATACAAAAATACTAGATGTAGTAGTTTTTGTTGTGGGGTGTATTCATTTTTACATCAACTAATTTGAGTAAAACTGAAGATTTTGTAATCAAAGTTTACGTTTATGTTATGAGCTAAACAAATGTTCTATAAATCTCAGTTTTGTCAAAATTTTGGAAATTGTTCTTGTGTTCATTGAGATATTGATTAATATCTTACTATTCAAAAGGGAGTGTACTCATTTATGCTGGGCACTGTATATGTGATATTTTTTTCATTCTTGTCATGGACAGATCTTTATAAGTTATGATATATATTTGCTGATTTGCTATGTATTTATGTTAATATAACTTTAATTTCTTGGTATTATATTTATGATTTTTTTGTATTTGTTTTCACAGTTCAAGTTTGTATCAGCAACAGTGTTCATGAGGCAATTGTGGACCTAAAACATTATCATTTTTAAGTATACACCAGTGTTTCCAAATACATTTTTCAATCAATATATAATGCTTGGAAAATGTGGTGAATGCCCATTCAAACTTGTTATTTCTACCATCTCCTAAATTATCTTTATTAGTGAACAAGTTTTCATGTTTGATGTTGGCCACTTCATCAATCACTAAATCAAGGGCATTAGCACCATAATCTTTTTCTACAAATCAACACATTAGCTTGTACTTAAAAAAAAAAAAATTACATTGATCAGTGCAATTTCTCCTAATCCATAAAAATGTACCTTTAGGGATGGCATTAAGCCACTGGAGGTGATGGCAACTTCCATACGGAATGTATGAATATCTATACATTTTATTAAAAATCATGTGAGTAAATAATTCATTCTCATTACTGTAAATCATTAAATCCAGAAAATTAATTTCAGAAACACTATAGTCGTAAGAATATGTATTCCCTCAATCATTATATCCTTTAATGAATTCATACATGCATGTAGAAACTTTTCAGAGCTCTTCCAAAAAAAATATTACGTTATCAATATAGCGCTTCCAAAAGATGAGCTCAAGAATCAACTGACCATAAATATAGGTATCCTCACACATAGACATAAAAAGATTGGCGAGGCTGGGGTCAAATATAGCCCCCATAACCATGCCAGTCTTCTGTCAAAAAAAACTTCCCTGGAAACCCAAATAATTGTGTTCCATTGCCAAATCAAGCAACCTCATTATAATTTTTCTTTGTTTCATAGGTAGAGTACCATCAGAATTCAAATAGTTCCTAACAGCTTCTTTTACTTTCTCATGAGGGATAATAGAGTATAAAGTAAGTCTGCTCTTACAATAAGGCATTCACCTTCAATTTCACACTTCTTCAGTTTGTTAATCACTTGTCCTCTATCTTTAAGATAAGAGGGGGTTTTAACTACTAATGGCTGCAAATAAAAGTCAATATACGTCTCAGTACTGGAAGTAACCGTGTCTATCACACACATTTTTGGGCCACTGATAGGATTAGTGAGATTTTTATGTATGTTAGGTAAATAATACAATACGGGCACTCTAGGTGCCGAAGGAACAAGACAGCTTTTTTCTTTTTTTATCTAAAATACCTTTTTCATATCCTTCCCTGGCAATAGATTCTA